TGTTGTGCTTCTGCTCCATGTGTGGGAAAGTTTTCTCTGTTGTGACCCTGGACAAATTGAGATTCTTTAGTAGATTTCTTGGATATTTACTGTTGATCTTTGGAAAAGGTGTCTTTTAGTAGGTTACAGAGTATTTCTCGCTGCTTTCAGTTACCCTGCTGAGCTTTATTTCCACCTCTTTCTTGAGTCCAAGTTGCTTGCCTGTTTTTTCTTATTTATGTTATTGACCCAATAAATGTTTTTTCATTGCCATTTGCTTTCCTTTTTTATCATCACTGTAAGTCCACAAGGATGCAAAACCTGCCTTTAAGTGCTGTGAAAGTACCGTGGTGCTTTTCTTGATCCTTACCCTTTTCTTTGTAACATTTCTTAGTTCAAACTAAGCCACTGTATGGAGAAGTAACTTAAAGGCTTGTTTTTCTGAAATCAACACATTTAACAGCATCCAGCTTTTAAAGTAGTTCAGATTATGCCCATAGTTTTACATCCTTACCCCTGTTTTCAAATTCTAGCATGATTCAACTGCTTATTCCTATTATAGATGAAGTAAATAATTTCTAACTCACATACCTAAATCTACGTAAAAATTTAGACTTAAGCTTTAAGCTGGAAGTTTCTGGCACTTAACAAGACCTTAAAACTATCTTTTTGTTTGTTGTTGTATTTTTCTGTTGGTTTGGGGCAGTTTTTGCTTTGGTTTGTCTTATAGGTGTGTATTCTGTAGTAGTCATGGCTTGTGGCTCTTCCTTCCTACATTTGAGTTAGAATGTGTAAAGCCAATATGTTGTTCCTGACAATTCCCTCTGAATGCAGTTAAAATGTGGGAGTGGACTTTTGGAATTAAATTACCATCATTGTCTTATTTGCTAGTAGTCATTTAATGTTCAAGTGCCTATTTTGTGACTTGTGACTTTTTCAACATTACTGAAATTCATTAGAACTACTATTTGTTCTTTTCATATCTGGATTTTTTTTTCCATGTAAATGTGTAACTAATTAGAGTAATTAAGTCATAGAAGTATATTTATTTTGGCATGGATGGAAATGAAGTTTTGAAGAGTCCAATGGCTGTGGAGGAGTAACAGCTCTTCCCTGTAACTGCATCATTAGCTCAGTGTGAATGATTTCATTTGTATGGAAAATTGACAGGGACAACTGTGTTTATCTTGTCTCTTCAATTAGCAGCCTGTGTAATTATTTTTCCAAACACTTAATTTTGGATGTTGTTTTTTTTTTCAGGATGGATTAGATGCTTTGGTATATGACTTGGACTTTCCTGCCTTAAGAAAAAACAAAAACATTGATAACTTCTTAAACAGGTGTAAGTATTTAATGTTTCAGTTAATAAATAACAAAAGAGTATAAATACCAGCAAAAATAAAAGCAGTTCTGACTTTTTTGAAAGGCAAATAGGGATTTGGGGTGTGTTAAATTGTTTTAAGAGTCTGATCATGTATTTCCCAGTGAGAGCTGACAGCCACCTGTATAAGCTCAGCCCCAGCAGCTGCCTGCCCAGGTTTGTTGGCACTGTAAGTGGCATGGTTTTCAGTGGCACAGAGCCTCTCAAGAGAAGTGCCTGTCATCTTGGCAGCCCTCTGGATTCACTGAACTTGCTATGTAATTTCATGTACTAATATGTCATAAACAGTTAACAAAAGTTAAGTTTTTTGAGTGTACGGTGTCGAGAAATCGTATTACCAATGAGTTCACTGCCAGACTGCAGCATGTGTTCTCTACACTTCTCTTAGTGTAAGATTTCATTATCCCACGAAATTCTTACATGGCAATAGCTGCTGTATTTGCTCAGGTACGTAGCTGATGTGTAGGGACGAATTCTCCCCTGTATTTACTCTGTATTTTTCCATGACCAGATTTCCTGCAGTCTTCTCTGTAATAACATTTTAAATGAATAAAGTTGATTGGTTTTTTTATAGAATTCCTCCTTCCACAACTTTCATAATTTAAAAACCAAACAAACTCAAGCTATTTAAGACTTAAGTCTTTTCTAAAGGCTGCCAAACTGACAAATTGTAGAAATCATGTGGAGACACTTGCTGATCTGAGACTTGCTTCTGCTTGTGGACTGGATGGGCAAGCCTTGAAATTAAGCCAATGTGATTAGATTTTTACAGGCTTAAGCATCTCAATTAAATGTTGTACTAAATGGCTTTTGTGGCATATATAAATTAAATTGATTGAAAGAATTTTTATTTTGCTTCACTGAAATTGATGGGGTTTTTTTGTTTGCAAGGTGTTTTCAAATAGTTTCCTTAGAGCAGTTTGTTAGGAGCAATAGTAAATTTGTGGGGCTTAATATGAAGATATTATTCCCCATTTCTGGGAAGATACGAGCCCACTAGATCTAGCTGGTGGCTTACATAAGCTGTTCAAATGTTTAACTTTTCAGTCCAAGCTGTATTTGATACTGCACACTGTTAGATGCACACTTTGTATGCTCTGTTATTTACAGAGAAGGTGTGGTGAAACTCCTGCAGAAAAGAGAAGTTTATTAGGCAAAGGAGATGGAACAGATCATTTGACTGTAATTTTTATGAAGAGTGAAATCATTAGTGAGGCTCACAGGGCCTCACTTCTATAGCTGGGGCTGAGTGGAGGAAAAGAAGGCGTACACTTACTGTCTGAGAGTGAATATCTTGTGGGTATAAATGTTATACTTTCCAAGATGTGACCTGAAGTAATGTGAAGGTGGAGAACAGACCATAGTACTTCACTTCAAACTGCCTTTAGAGCACTAATCTTGCTGTGTTTGCTGAAATAGGAGAGTGAGCTGTGAATGTGCCAGCAGTGGCCTTAGAGGGGACTGTGAAGTCGTTCGTCTTGAATTTCTCTATTTTGTCTTAAATTGGGAAAAAAATTGACATAGGAACATTGTCTTTTTTTTTTTTTTTAATATATATAGTTCTAGGAGAAATGGTTTAAAAGGTGATTTTTTTTGGTAGTGTTAGCTGTCCACACAGTCTGCACCCTTATTCTAGAACTTTAAATTGAATTTCTAGGTTGCAAGTAAAATGGGAGTGTGCTTCCTTTATTTTATAGACTGACTGCACTGGAAGCCTGATCCCCTCTTGTTTTTATCTGATTTACATAGTGTATTTGTGAAGCCTCCAAAATCTGCTTCAACTACCTAAGATTATGAGGGTTATATATGCAAGTGTGGAACCTTACTAATTTTCTACTGTAGAGAAGTAAAAGAATAAAGAGATCTCTCAAGATTGCAGCAGAGACTCAGCTTATTTCAAGATAACATCTAAGCTGGTAATCAGACTTCAGGGCAAGCTGGAGGACGTGGTCCTTGGCCATGGGAGCTGCCCCACCTGCCCATACAGTCCAAGCTGGCTGCATCATCCACTGCTGGTGGGAGATAAGGAACTGCCCATTTCAGTGCTCCACAGCCTGATAAACCTTGTTGAACAGATCTCAGCAGGTGGAGGTCAGATTTCCAACACTGCTGTTACATTTTGTCTGAAGATAGCTGAGTGTTAGTTTAGTGCTTGAGAGACACTGCAATTTGGGACTGCTTACAAGCTGGGTTTGCCTTATTTAGGAAACTTTAACTTAGATTGCCCTTGAAATGTGTTTTCCTTGGTTCTGTTCTGACCAGAAGCAAGGCTCGTGACTGAAAACCATTGAAAGCATTCACATTGTGCAGCTTTCTTCTGCACCAGTGTCCAGATTTTCCATTAGGTGCTGGACATCCTGGGGTGAGATCACTAGGCAGCAAGTTAAAAATAATAGAAAATTGTTGTCATGAGAACTGCTGTGTTTTAGCTCCATGCAGGGTTCCTCACCCTCCACTGCAGGTCGCTTTCCCCAGGCCAAGTAAGGCATTGCCTTTTTGTTTTCATTACTGAATATTTTGATTCTTGTGTGAATTAAATGTTCAGAATTAACAACTTTAATATAATTTATTTAAATCAGCTAGTGGTATTCTGCATTGTAAGGGGATGGTTTTACCTTAGAGCCCTGCCACAGAGCAGAACAAAGCTTGTTCCTGTTGCACTAATAACATCACACTGAATTTTGGTTGTTCCTATGCCACTTTTGGTTTAGACAATGGCCAGCCTAGGTAGAAGTGTGATGATAATCTTGTCATCTGACTCGTAATTTTTTAACAATACAAACTTAAAAAGTGTCATTTCTTCTCCTTTCTCTTACCCTTAATTCTTTCTAAACTTTACTTTTAGTCCTAAGGGTATTATTTTTTAAAAGAAAATATTGCATAATATATTTTTAGAAGCATATCTGATTCAGTAGATGTTCCTTGCTTTTAGAAATTCTGAAGCATGAAGCTTTTCCATGTAATCTCATGCCAGTGTTGACCCACATGGATTAAAATAGACTGTTTTAATCTTTGACCAAATTTGGAATTAGAATATCTGCCCACTGGGAGTTTATAAATTACTGTAGTTTATAGAATGACAGGTTTGTATAAATAATTGCAACGATTCCCACTGCATGTTTTAAATTAAAATCTATTTTTTTGAGTATTAGGAATAATAAAATGCAGGAAAAAAATTATTTTTTAGAAAATTTTTTCTTCAAGTGTCTTGTGTGTGTACTTTATGATACTTTTTCAGCTGTATTGCATATTTATCCAGATACAATTTTTTTTACACTGATCAGCTTACAAGCAAGATCATACTGGATATGAATTTTTTGCATAGCTTTTTTTTTTTTTTCCAGGTGATTTTTTTTTGAAAGAAATTCCCCAATTAAGCTCTCCAGTAATTTGATTGCACAGCAGAGTCACTGCATTATGTTCATGTCAGGTTTGGTTACTATGGCAATGAGAATGAGGTCATGTAGTCTGCAGAGGGGTTTCCAACAGGAAGGCAGGTTCAAAAGTAAGTCTCTCTTCCAGCAGCACATCGTTAAATAACTATTAAATGAGATGAATGGTTTTAATCAAACCGACTCTATCTGAAAGGTGAATTTTTTCTGCAGATAAGGACACGGTGAGTAAGCTGCGGGACCTGCGGATGAAGGCTGAGGACTATGAGGTGGTGAAGGTCATTGGCAGAGGGGCATTTGGGGAGGTCCAGCTGGTGAGTTGTCTCTGTCTGTTGGAATTATTTGTGTTGTGTTTGCTCCTGGCTCTGTTTCTGGATACAGTGTTTAGAAGATGCAGCCATAATACTAAAGCCTTTAGCTCAGTGACATTTTTTTATCCCATGGAGATGTTTTTTTGAGAGTCTGTTATTTCAGTACTCTCAAAGTGCGGAAATACTTGTTTTACACTATTTTAATCAAAAAGCATGACTATAAAATGGAACATGTATTCCTCATAATCAAGAAAATTAGTCTCTGCTACTGTACACATGGGCACTTGAACAAATCTTCAGGACTAGAATTATCTCTGCCAGTTCAGGGACTACACCAGATTTTTGTGGACATAGTTCTCACAGATGAGTCTTACATGTTGTTTGTGATGGATTAGCAACCAGGCTTGTTCATCCTGCTTTATTGAATTGAAAACTGGTGGGAGAAACTGGAAATATGGCAGCAAGTGCATGTGTCTGCTAATGAACTCTGGAAAATGCTTGTCATTTTAACTTGCTAGTATTTAACAGGGGCTGGTGTTTGTCCTTTTGAAGGCACAGGCGTACAAATTACCAAGGGGTGGTTGTCCCTCTGGACTTCTGTCGAGTTCTTCCAGCAAGTACCTTAAGAGCATCAGATAATGGAGTGTAATTATTCTGTACACCCACAGTGTGTGTAGTGAGTGTGAAGAGTCTCATAACACTTGTTCAGGAGTGAAGCAGGAGAGCTCAGCTGGCGAATTGCGCCGCGGCAGCGGTCAGCTCTGGGGATTCTAGACTGAGGTGATGGGGTTCCCAGAGTCAGAGAAACCCAAGGAGGAGCAGAGGGAACCCCCAGGGGCTGGCAGCTGGGAGGCTGACAGGGTCCCACTCCCAGGGCAGCTGCAGGAGGTGTAAATGTGGCCCAAGCAGCAGCAGTGCTCTGGACAAAGAGCGCAGCAGCAGCGGCCCCAGGGCCCGTGGCCAGCAGGTTCTTCCTGTGGAGAAAGCCCCTGAGAAGCCTGATCTGTCCACTCAGGCTGGCCAGAAGGGACAGTTCAGTGCAGTTGGAAGGCTGCAGTGAGTGCCTAGACCTTTCTCCTCACATAAAGGTCAGTACTTGCAAAAGGTGTGCTCAGGTTGAGCATCTGTTACACCACGTAACAGAGCTGCAAGAAATAGTCATAAAGGCTACACAGCATCAGAGGAGCAGAGACAGAGAGAGTTATTTTCAAAACCATGTTCCTGTGGCAGACACCACTGAGAAAGTGACAGCTTGGACCCTGGTGACCCAAAAAGCAGGACTCTGCTTCATCCTCGACCCTTTGATGTCACTACCAAAAGCAGATTTGAAGCTTAAACACCTATAGACACCCACAAGCAAGCTCTGCAGGCAGGAGCTTCACCAGCAAGATGGGTGTGGCTGCTGTAGAAGGAGAGGACAGGTGCCCATAGTGGGCAACTCTCTGTTGAAGGGCACTGAGGTGTCCATCTGCTGACCCGACAGGGAGTCACAGGAGGTGTGCTGCCTCCCAGGAGCTAAGATCCAAGACGTTGCTGAGAGGGTAAGACAACTTGTCAACAGCATCATCTACTAGCCACTGTTGTTCTTTACTGTGGGCATGAATGATGCTGTGAGCCAGACCCCAGGCAGGATCAAGGAAGATTATAAAGCCCTGGGAATGCAAGTGAAAAACATTTGGTGCCCAAGTTATCTTCTCTACCTGGCCAGTTAGAGGAAAGGGAGCAGCCAGATACAGACAATGAATATCACCTCCTGGCTCTGTGGCTGGTGCCATTGCAGGGCTTTTGGGTCTTGTGAGAAGGGGACATTCTTTGACAGCTATAGCATGTTGGAGAGGATGGAATACTCTTGTCTCGAAGTGGTGAGGGTATCTTTGGCAGCAGGCTGGTCAAGTTGGTGATGCAGGCTTTAAACTGAAGGTCTTGGGTAGGGTCCAAGGTGGCAATGCTCATGCCATTGCATCCAACTGAACTGCACCATTGGTGCAACCCCATGCACCAATACAGGTTAGGGGTTGACCTGCTGGAAAGCACCTCCATGAAGAAAGACCTGGGTGTCTTGGACAGCAGGTTAACCATGAGCCAGCACTGTGCTCTTGTGGCCAAAAATGCCAACAGCATCCTGGGGTGCATTAAAAAGAGTGTGACCAGCAGGTCAAAGGAGGTTCACCCCCTCTCCTCTGCCCTGGTGAGGCCACATCTGGAGTACTGTGGCTGGTTCTGGGCTCCCCAGTTCAAGAGAGACAGGGACCTTCTAGAGAAAATCCAGTGGAGGGTTGCAAGGGTGCTGGAGCCCTGGAGCAGGCTGCCCAGAGAGGTTCTGGAGCCTCCTTCTCTGGAGACTTGGAAAACCCTGTTCCTGTGCAACCTGCTCTAGGTGAACCTGCTTTAGCAGGGGCGTTGGACAGGGTGATGTGCAGAGGTCCCTTCCACCCCCCACCATCCTGTGATCTGTCGTGTATTCAGTGTCATTCCTTGTGTGCTGATGTGGCAGACTTGTGTTCTGTATCTCACATTTATCTCCATAGGTAAGGCATAAATCCTCCAGGAGAGTGTACGCTATGAAGCTTCTCAGCAAATTTGAGATGATAAAAAGATCAGATTCTGCATTCTTCTGGGAAGAAAGGGATATTATGGCTTTTGCTAACAGCCCCTGGGTTGTTCAGGTATAGTGCTATTCCTTTTAAAATATTATTGTTATAGAATAATTTTTTTGCAACACTGCATGAGTGGGAATTACATGTTTTCATTTTTAGCTTTTCAAAGTCCATTTTTGGTTGTATTGGTGTGTTAGGGAGATACATTATTAACATCAGCAATGCTGTACACAAACAGCAGATATCACACTTGTTTCCAGACTGTTTTGTCATAACATTTACAAGATTAGCTCTTCTGTTTATTATTAAAAATCTTTGCCAGATACATATTGATGAGCCTACTCTGTAGTAATGTTGAGGCATCTAGCATACCAGAAAGATACATTAAACCACAGCTTGTGTGTATTCTGTTCTGTGTGTATATTGACTACAAATTGCCCCCACTCTAGGTCTTTTTTTCCCCATTTCGTTGTTATCACTGACAATTTTTTTAGAGGCATTGCCTTTTGACATTTTAAGGAGTATGCCTGAAGCAATCCTCATGCATTGTGTGCACTGTTAATTTGTTCATTTAAATTGTTCTTACAGTTAAGCATGTAAATTCTTTTATGAGGTTAGAATTAGACAAAAGTCACTCGGTTTACCTGGGTCAGGTAGGTGACTGCATTACTCTGTCTGGCTGTGGTCCTCCAGAAAGAATTTTTGATTTTCAAAAAGCTTTCAGTTGGGCAAATGAACCCTACCCTAGCTGAACCAGGACATCTTCCACAATTTAATTCACTGGCTGCTCTCACCCAAAGTCAAATCTCCCTGAGATACACGTTGAATTTCTGTGTCCCCCTGAATCACCTGCCAGGTGCAGCCGAGTCCTGGATCAAAAGCAATCCTGGGGAGGGGTTTGCCTTTGCCTGGTGCAGGATTAATCCAGAACATTTCCCCTAAAACATTCTTCATGTGCCCTATGACAGGGGATGTGACAGATGTCTATGAGGCCGTTTTGGAAGCGAGTGCCCTTGTCTGACTCTGATTCTTTCTGGGGTGCTGTGTCACCACAAGACTTGGTTTCCATGCCCAGGATGGTGTTATGGGATAACTGGAATATTCATTGACTTGCTTTTTGTTTACTTGTTTCTTACAGTTATTTTATGCATTCCAAGATGACCGTTACCTCTACATGGTGATGGAATACATGCCTGGTGGGGACCTTGTGAATTTAATGAGCAACTATGATGTGCCAGAGAAATGGGCAAGATTTTATACTGCTGAAGTTGTACTTGCATTAGATGCAATTCACTCCATGGGTTTCATACACAGGTGAAAGAGAAAAAAGCTGTTACATAATGTTTTGTTCCTGGTGCTGAATAATTTCAGTAACTGTTCAGGCAGTTTAAAATTTTTTTATGTTACTTCGTCTTTATTATTTCATTATTATTCCACCTTTCAACTTCAAAGGTCCTTGCCAGCAGACACTACAAGTCTGAGGTGATACAGTCAAAGTAAAGGTTTTTAGCAGACTGATTGTCCCACTTTACCAAGAGATACAAGAACTACAGTGATATGAATATGTTGGCCCCCAAATGGTTGGGTTTTGATTAGAAGAAGCTGTTTTGGAAATTTGATAGCAGTTTTTTTTCCTAGCCAGCTGTTTTCTTGTAAGGGACAAAATGGAAAATTGAGGTGTGGAGGAAAAGGACTTGGCTTAGTTTTATATTATGTACTTACCCAAAGTGACATGTAGTCACATCTCAAATAGCTTGAGAATTTTGCTTTTTGATATTTGAACTTTCACCTGTTGATAGTTTTTAATTATATTCATGATATTAACTAAGAGCAGAAGAATTATTTTTTTCATCAGACATAACTTTTTCAACACAAAACAGAGGAGGAGTTTGAGGAAGATGTAGGGTATAAATTCCCAGTTTGTAATGTGGCCAGCAGATCAGTGCAAACGTGTAAGCTCTTGCAGGAAAGCAAAAGAAAAGCAACTCAAACTACTGATCCATTGTTTGAGTGGGATCTGGGCATTATTCATTATGTAGCTGTGCTGCACAGAATGGATAAATTATCTGGCTGAACAAACCATTAGTACATCTGTATTGCAGGCTTTGGAAAACAAGCTTTAGGAGTTGCCAGCAGCACAGGGAGGTTTTTTCCTTGAAAATTCTGATTATTTTGACACCAGCAGATCTTTTGGAATTTGTTTTCCTCTGGAGTTAGCCTGTTCAAGTCTGAGGAATGGAAGGAAGCAGCAGTGATTGCTCCAGGGGTTGATGTGGGCAGTTTTGTTGTCATCCATGACATGAGCACTGTTCAGGTGGGACAGAAAGCAGCATCCATCAGCTGCCCAGCAGGACTTCATAGGAAAGGTGGAGCCAGACCTGGAAGTTGCACATTGAAAAGATGAGAGGCAATGGATGACACAGGTCACAGCAAGGGAATTTCTGGCTCTTCACTAGGAAATATTTTTTTCATTTTGAGGGTGATCAGACAGTGGAACAGAGTCCTAGAAAGGCTGTGGAATCTTCACCCATGAAAAAAGTTCAAAACTTGACTGGATTTGACGCTGAGGAGCCTAACATAGCTTTGAAGTTGAGTCTAACTTTAACTGTACTTTGATCAGGCAATTGAACCAAGGATCTTAGAAAAATCCCTCCCAACCCAAATTATTTTGTGAGTATAATGATACATTTCCACTGCACTTCCATTTCACAGTTGTGACCAGAGGTCTCCTTTGAGGTCCCAGAAATATACTTTCTCCTGAAACATATTATGTTTTCTTGATAATTGTTTTATTCTGCTTAGTGTATTTAATAACATTAGATGTGCTGAACTTTATGGAAATGGAAGTAGAATGTGGAAGAGGGTGGAAGGCAAACTTTCTTCTGAGCCATAGAAACATAATTCTTGACATTAATATAATTCTGAAAATTCCATCCATTTGTTCCCTTAAAATAGAGGTGAGACAGGAGCAGCTGTGTTCTCAAGGCCTGTTGCAGAGAGCTAACTCAGAACCAGGGTGGGTTATCTGGTTTCTGTAGCTGGATCCTAGCAGAGAGGTACTTCAACAAGTGGCTGGTTTTGAGGAACTTGAGGTTCAATGTTAATGACCAGATTTGTTAAATGTAGTGAGTTAAGACTGTATTCTCACATCCATTATGGTTTTTATAAATGTTGAATTTCAGCAGTGTCTGTGTTGGAGATGATCCTTAGAGAAAGCAGAAAATGGAGGAAATAGTGCTGCTTTCATGTTGGAGCTTTTCCTTGCAAAGTTGCACCTGAAAAATAATTGACTATTCTTGTTTTCTTAAGTTAAATTGATTTAGTTTTAAAGAAATATCTTTTTCTCCTCTCAGAGATGTGAAGCCTGATAATATGCTGCTAGATAAAGCTGGTCATTTAAAACTAGCGGATTTTGGTACTTGTATGAAGATGAACAAGGTAAATGTTTTTAATTGCACTTTTCTGTTTGTGAAAGGAAAACCTACATCAAATTGAAAAGAAAATATACTGAAAATGTTTTAGCTAGATGCGAGGAGTCAAGAGTTCCACTCCATGCCCATTGTTATTCTTTATGCATCCTGTTCAGTGACAATGTAGAATATATTCTATTATAATAATGACAGTATATTCTATACTGTTTTCTAGAGAAAGTTTCTAAGGTCACACCTTTGATTGGCTCAAGATCCTCTGCATTATTCAGGTGTTTGGTTATCAATAGTTAATAAGAAGTGAGAATATTTTTATGTAGTCTGTTAATAATGAAAGAACCAAAACTGATCTACAAGTCACTGAGTCCCAATTGTACTTATTAACTGTATGTTGACGTGGCAAAAGGGCAGATCTGAAGGAAATGGGTGAAAGGATGTCATAGAATTATTTATTTTAAAAAATATATCTTGAGGTGACTACAAAAGTACATTTTATAACAGTATTTCACATACTGTGAAGCACTCTTGTTCTCTACAGAAGCCTCTGATGGGTTTGTGTCAGCCTGCACATATGAGGAAAGCAATCTGAGGTAGCTGGTACTTGGTAGAGTGTGTGTAACATGCACATTGTGTTCTCAGCATATTCCAGAGGCTTTGAATAAATCCCTGTATTGAGATGCTTTGCCATAAATATAAATACAGGGCAGCTTGTCAGGTTATGTGCAAATTCAAGGAATGACCTCAAGGCACAGTCTTTCTTCAGTGGAATAGCTGACACAAAATTTGGCTTTATGGTGTCTTAATACACATTTATCCTTGACTAATTATGTTCTTAACAATGAGGAATTTTGAAACATGGAAAAACATCCTGGTGTTTAAGGTGCAAGTTCAAAAAAAAAAGGAGAAAAATACTACAAAACTTTGCTGTATATTAGCATTATGGAATTAAACTTGTGTCAACAACATGGTACATTTTGTGCTGCTTTAAACAAAGGCAGCTGAGTAGTCCTGAGCCTAGTCTTCAGTTCCTCTGATCTTTTGAAAGAGAAAGGTTGCTCCATGGGAGAGAGAATGCTCAGTACAGGAGCTTAGTTGAGGTGCATTCTGGACTTGCTGCATATGCAACACTGAGTTTGTATTTATTCTGTTAGTTATATATTTTTATGCAAGTTTTTCTGATGATGGGTTTCTAGAACAGCACAGGGTTCTCTCAGCAGTGCTGGAGTTGCACTGAGAGAGGCAGGCTGCTGCAGCTGCAGCATTCTGGGTGCCTGCTGATCTCTTCTGCCAGCCCTCTTGCAGGGTTGTGAGGGACATCACACGTTCTTCTCACCTGTCACCTGTTCTGAAGTCTGTCTCCTTAGAGTTTCAAGGCCCTGTCTACATTTGCTTTTCCTGCCACTAAGTGTATTGGGTTGGAAGTGAAAAATTTGCACTTCAGCTGATCCTGCCAGCAGAATCCTGCTGTTGACCTGTTTGTGCTGGGAGAGGACCTTCCTCTGGGCACAGTGCGTCCTGTCAGTGTGTGACACATAGTGGAACAGGAGAGGCTATACAGTGTTTACAGATACAATTATGATTGCTTCTTTGATATCAACTGAGGCTTTTAAAGTAACTTTCCCCATGTTGGACAAATTTGATGCTTTCTTCTGGATTCAGTAGCTTAGAGTTTAAAAACATCAAAATACCCATTCAGAGGAGAACATGCGTTGGTGAAAGCTGATGTTAATCTGTTGCTGTTGCTTAGGCTGCATGAACTCTTTGGCAAGAGCTTGCAGTTTTGGGTGGTCTGTGTGAGCCTGGCTGTGTTGTTCTTTGCAGGAGGGTATGGTACGATGTGACACGGCTGTGGGGACACCAGACTACATCTCTCCTGAGGTGCTCAAGTCCCAGGGTGGTGATGGTTACTATGGGCGAGAATGCGACTGGTGGTCAGTCGGAGTCTTCTTGTATGAGATGCTTGTAGGTGAGTAGCAGGAGAATCAGAACTGACATTAAAGTCATTCTTGGCTTTGTTTTATTACTTTTCTGGCATAAGCTGTGGTTCACTGATCATGATATTTAAGGAATATGTTTTAGAAATACTCTCGTGCAGTTCTCACGTGTTCTTGCCTCCTATTCACTTAGTTGCTTCCATTGTTGCATATGTAGTTCAAATCTAATAAATCATATCTGCAGTATTTTTTGTCTCCTTTTAAATTTTTGCATTGCTTTTTCAGGTGATACACCGTTTTATGCTGATTCTTTGGTTGGAACATACAGTAAGATTATGAACCATAAGAACTCCCTTACTTTCCCTGATGACAATGAGATTTCTAAAGAGGCAAAAAACCTCATTTGTGCCTTTTTAACTGATAGGTAAGATCTAAACTTTACTCAGAATGAAAGTAAGCCTTGAGAGAATTTCTTCCCAGGTTGAAAAAAAACAAAGAGATGTATATATATTTGTTTTGTGTGGGTTTCTAAACTGCACAAGAGAAGTGAGTGTTTGGGAGAGGAGTTTGGGAGGTTGCTACTGGAAGTGCTGATACTGTGGGTATGTCTACTGTATATATTTAGCTTCTGTAAAGTGCTACTCCTCAGTAACAGCTACTGTTACCTTGGTCTGTCTTGCACAGTGTTGAGAGGCATCCAAAACAGATTCTTTCTGGATGAAGCTAAAGCAAAAGGTGTTTCTTGGGAAAGCCCCTAGCTCTCAGTGGGCATTCAGATCAGGGTGGAGTCAGCTCAAAGGAGCCCATCTGAAATGTGGGTGTTAGGTCTTTCACACTGTGAATACACCCCTGTTGTGCCCCTGCTACTTATTAACATAAGCATAACCTTTGCTTGAGACCTGATGCTACAGAGGAGGGGCTGCTGCATTTTCTGGACTGCATGGAACTCAAATGGCAGCATGAACTCCTAGAAAAAGTGGAACCTAGCTGCTGCTGGCTGCTGCCTCAGCAGTCCATGGTGGAGGAAACAGTAGCAGCAGGACCTCTTATGGACCAGACTTAAAACCAGACAGTGTTCTGAAATCACAGAATCATAGAATTGTTTAGGTTGGAAAGACCATGAAGATCAAGTCCAGCCATTAACCCAGCACTGCCACGTCCACTACTGTAATCGTGTTGCTAAGCACCACATCTACACATCTTCTAAATACCCCCAGGGATGGGGACTCAACCACTTGTGGCTGCTGTGCTCCTATACATCTCTTCAGATGAACGCTCTGAGATGTGTCTGTTGCTTACCTTAGTTTGAGAGGCCATTTTTTGTCTTTGTTGTTAGATTATGCCTTAGAATGAGTTCTTCAGAAAAATGTGTGTCATGTTCCCTGCCTAACCCAAGTGCTCTTTAACAGGGAGGTGAGGCTGGGACGGAACGGGGTAGAAGAGATTAAACGGCACCTTTTCTTCAAAAATGATCAGTGGGCTTGGGAGACTCTCAGGGACAGTAAGTACAACACTTTCCTCAGAGACTGTGACCTGGCTTACTTAGGTGTTATGTTAGCAAAAAGACTGCCATATTTCTTTTAAAACGACTTTAAACTTTCATTTTCTCTGTACCACCACTCTGGTTTTTGTGGACACCAAAGAGAAGTTCCCTCAAAAAATTCTTGATTGTGTTATTTGAGTAATACAGTGAATCATTGTCATAGTGTTCTGGGTTTTTTTCCTAGCTGTAGCACCAGTTGTGCCTGACTTAAGCAGTGACATTGACACTAGTAATTTTGATGATCTGGAAGAAGACAAAGGAGAGGAAGAAACGTTTCCAATCCCAAAAGCCTTTGTGGGCAACCAGCTTCCCTTTGTAGGATTTACATACTACAGCAACCGTCGGTACGTATGCAGAGAGCAGGCCCAGGGGGTGTCTGCTCCCTCCTGCTGCTCCCTCCTGCTGCTCCCTCCTGCTGCTCCCTCCCGCTGCTCACTCCTGCTGCTCACTCCTGCTCACCAGGATTTGGATACCAGCCTGTTCAGATCCTGAGCAGTGCTTTAGCATCCTAATAAACGACACTCTTTTGACAGTTTGTTGGTGATGACCAGTAATGTTAGGCATCAGTGCCTTAACCTGTCACAGTGAGTGTGTTTGTCTTACTCTGCATTGCAAATATTATATTGTGGGGCTGCAGAAGGTCAGCAAGAAAAATCCACTATGAGACAGAGCTGCCTGCTGAGCACTGAATTATATATATAGAGTCAGGAAGCAGGGATATGAGTGTCACTTTGTTTTACTGTGAATTACTGTCCCTGAGTTCTATATGAAGATTCCATACTTTACATCAGTGTTTTACAGTGTGAGAAATCAAGCCCTGGCTTAATAGAAACAAAATAATCTCTACTTGCCTGTTAACTGCTTCATAATTTTTCTTTTTTTTTTTTTTTCCACAAAGTACTCCTCCACTGCAGAGTGAGGTTGTGATGCATTACAATTTTCACAGTTGCTTAGAAGACTTTAAATTGCACCAGTTAAAACTGCATTAATTCATACTTCTAGCAGTCATTATTATTACAGAGAACTGTGCATAGCTTATCTACAGTCAAAAATCTTAATTTGAAAACTGCTGTTAATTGTAGTGGATGTCAATCAGGCTTAAAGTGGGCTAAAACATCTAAGAGACTATGTCAGATAGAGTCTATTAGTTTGAATAGCATTTCTGGATAGGAAAGCCTTAAAGGAACTAAATCTGGTCCTGGGATAGAAGAGGAACCACTTTTCCAAGCCTGTGGTGAAATCCTTTTCCTCACAAGAGATCACAAGAATCTCTCCAAGGTTCTGATGGAGTTGGTGCTACCTGTTTTCCTGTAGCTTCCCTGCAGGTATTGGAAGGCAGTTGTAAGATCCCTATGGAGTCTTCTCCAGGCTGAACGATCCCAGTGCCCTCAGCCTATGTGACCTTGACTTTGGAGATGTCTTTGATTTTACCCTCCTTGATCTTTTGGAGAGGTTTTTGTATATGTGAAACAAAAAAAGAGGATGTGTCCATCTTCCTCAGTTCATGTGCTGGAGAATTTTTCCTTACATAACCTGATGCAGTTAGTTTTACGTCTCTAAATCAGTTATCAAGCCAAGAATATCATATCAAATGCCAAAGGAATTTGAAGATAGTAATTTGTATTTATTTGCCTGACTTTTCAGAATTATGACAAATAGAATTTTGTGGTATTTTTAGGCAGTGCTTACGTAAAATCAGAACCCTGCCTTCAGGACACACTAACGTGTGTGGAACTCTTAGTAACTCTGTTGGAAGTTACACGACCTCTGCAGAGTTTGCTTCATTGCTGCTACTTGCAACATAAGTGCCTGGGTAAATATTTATGGGATGGAAGCCAGTGAGAGTGTTGTAACCATGGAAAGCAAAGATTATTTTTTTTTTTAATGGTTATTAAAAAAAAGAAAAGTGGTTGAATTAGTATTTGGCAGAAATCCTTTTTTTCTGGTGGTCTTCTGCAGTTTTCTGCTTTACCCTTTGCAATAAATTATGTGATGTTTTCAATTAAATTTCTTGAATCTTAAAGTATCATAAGTACAGAAATAAAAGAATCTGATTTTGTTACTATTTGTTTATCCAGATTTTTGGAGAGAAAAAAAAATCTAGGGGTTATGTTTCAGGATGCTTGTATTCTGTTTTATCATAACCTTGCTTTTAAAAAACTCTTTAAACTTTTAAACTGTTGTTACAGGTATTTAGCTGTCCCTGCAGAAAATTCAAACGATAACAGAACGGGCTCCAATGTGGATAAAAGTGTGGTATGTCTCATGGATTTTCAGTTGGGTTGGATCTTCTTTTTGTGGAACTAGATTCACAGATTTTATCTTTAAAAATACTGCACAAGTGCTGTGGTATGTCTAGAATGCCATCTTGATCCCACGTGTCCTCTGGCTTTGTGGCAGCACGGAGCCTGGACACGAGTGACAGGGCTGGTGGGCTTCCAGCAGCTCGCCAGGTTCACTCTGGAGCTGGACTCCCTCTGAACGAGGTGGGAGGGGGCAGATCATGTACCAGGCTTGGGCACTCTGCTCCTTCCTAAGGGTGCCCAACAAGCTATTGGGAATTGAGGCCCCAAGGATCTGCATTCACAGCAGTTTACTCAGCAGAAGTGTGCAGGAGTTCTTTCAGTTACTGCTTCCCAAGCTTGGCAGTCAGGTTTCCAGGAAAGTGTGCTGAGGTCCACCCCAAGGATCTGCATTCACAGCAGTTCACCCAGCAGAAGTGTGCAGGAATTCCTTCAGTTACTGCTTCCCAAGCTTCTTGGCAGTGAGGTTTCCAGGAAAGTGTGCTGAGGTCCTGGATTCAATGTGATTTCTACAGTAAATAAAGCTATTACCTTACAATGGCTTGATAGTTTACAAACTACATTCTTTCCAGAAGGAAACACTGTCAAAAAGCTGATAATTATTTCTAAAAGAAATCTTGTTGGCTTTGACTATGACTTACTTTGTTAGTTTTTCATTTAGAGTAGAGGAAAAGCAGATAGTGATGTATGTTCCCTTTTCTCTTGCAATATAAAGGTTTTAATGATACATGAATGATACCCAGAGAAAATTTTTAAGGAGCAGAGGAACTGGTAGTTTACTTTATTGGGCTAACTGGATTTATTAAGCATTGAAGTGTCTTGACATCTTTATATATGTTGATGTGTTCCATAAATTTTGTTTTTTTCATAAGCATTTGACTATTGATATGGTAAAATTAAAAGCAGAGCCAGACTTCTAAATATTTGCTGATACTTAAAGCTGCTTGCTGGCCTTTGGTTGGTTGACTTTGAAGAGAGACCTGAATGGACTTGATGTAGTTAGTGGGGTACAGGCACCTCCATCTAGTTGAAGAACCCTCAAGAATCCTGTCTCTATTGTCAGCTGTATTTGAATGTCTTGTGATTTTAACAGTTTTAGGAGGTGGAGCTCTGGAAGGATATGAGTGATATAGAGAGATTTAGATAAACGTTAAGTCTTTACCACAAGCTATTTTTACCCCTCAGTTCTTTCTCAGCTGTTTTTCTTTCATTGCATGCTGCAATGAAAACAGTAATATTGACACGTGCTAAGCAAATTAGTTCTGGAAATAAAACACAAGATGTTACCTGGTCTGTCTGCCTTTTTGGCATGGTACTGAGTGCCAGAAATCTGCAAGAAATTGTGGAAGTGTGTGGAACTTCCCAGAGCTAGGCCATGAGGTTGGACAAAAATGGAATTCAGTGCTCTTTAAATGAATTTCAAGCCTCTGAAGATCTAAATCAATTTAGTGCTACCATAACCACCCATAAACAGTTCAGATATTAAAAAAGATTAACAGATTATTTTGCACTGGGTCTTTGGTTTTCTTCATTGTTCAGAAGAAACCAGACCCACTATGCTACAGTAATAAAAAAAAAAAAAAAGAAAAATGTAGCAATTGCAGAGAGATTTTCCCTGGCTTCTCTGCTGTAGGTAGGCTTTTCCATAGTCCTTTTGTCCCTTGCCTCCTACTCAAAATGGAAACTGAGAAGAAACTAAACCATAAAGGAATGCTTTATACTGAATTAATGGTAACTCAGGATTTTCTTACAGTATTATTTAGTCTATTGATACCAGGTTGTGTAAAGCTTCTCTGGCAGGCTGGTGTCTCATCCTGATGTGATCAGACTGCTCAGCAAGCTTAGGGGAACAGCACTGTAAAACCAGCCAGAGACAGAAAGAAGCAGGAGGAGGCAATATAGGTAGGAGTAAGTACAGATATGCCTCAGTTGCCAGATGTCTTCTTGGACCTGTTCCTCATCTACCCCATTTAGATCCTCTATGCAGCCTGTCTGGAAGGGCTATAAAATGAGTAACCAAGAAATGAAAGAGCTAGAGGAGTTGAGACTTATTTATCCTTCGTGTTTGTGCATTGGCTGTGGTCCCTTTTTAACTTAAGTGCTACATAGTCTTGCTGCTTGCTTCATTTCTCAGTGGTTCATGCAAAGGAGGTAAATGTCTCATGTACTCCTTGTCCCTCCTTTTTCCTCAAAGTTTACATTTGGAGGCCATCTCTGTGGTTTTTGCCTACAGCCATTGTCTCATCCCTGTGGTGTTATGTTGTAGGTCACAGCAGCAAGGGGTTCCTAGAGCTGTTGTGTAAGTGTTGAGTTGTTTCTTCCAGCCTCTCAAGGCTTTGTGATAGGTGCTGGTAAACACCCAGAGTGGTGAAGAGACAAACCACGTAGCTGCTGGTTAGGCAGCAGTCACCATGTCTGTGTTCTTCCTCTGAACACTCCAGAGCAGCTTAAGAACATGGAAGAGAGAAAAAGGAGGCAGTGGGAAAGGCTGTCTGGTACTTGAGTGTTCCAGGCTCCTCCTGCCACCAAGGGAAGGAGAACAGCCTGGAAGTACAAAGCAGGAGAAATGTCTGTGTGAGGCAAAAATGATGCCAGCTGTGAGTCCTCCCTCTCAAGAGGACATGCTGGCTTGTCTCCAGGCTGAGGGGTCAGTTGGGGGCTGTACCAGGGCAGCCCTTGTGGGGAACACTGTTCATATCAGGAGAGAGTGGAGACGAGAGGAGTTTGTCTCCTTGGTAACCTCAGTGAGCAGTTCTGGATTCTCTAAGCATATTCTGTGAGCAAGGGGGACAAGGAAGGGGCAGATATTGGAGGAACTGTTCTGTTGCTGTTCCTACGATGCTTGTGCAGAAGAAGTCAGGCAAGCATCAGAGTTTGTGAAGATAAGAAAGCAAAGGGTCAGAACCACTTAAATATGTTGCTTTGAAGACTCTAGATAAAGGATGGTTAATTCTCCTCCATGCAATTCCAAGAGTGCTGAGGAAATGTGGGAAAGCTAAAGAAGGCTGGAATCCCCAAAAGATGAGTGGAAAGGTTTAACAGAGTGAATCAGCATAGGCTTGGCTTAACGAGCTCCCTCAAAGCTGACACCACCTTCTTGTTAACTGAGGAATTTGCTGCTGTTGGAGTGGGATTATTGTTCCCAGAGATCCTGGAGAGGGAACATGTTTTGAGACTATATCAAAACAAATTTCTGAATTTATCTTGCTAGCAAACAGCACATACTTGTATAGTAATGTTCTGTGTTAACACTGGAAGTCTGTTTTCAAACCTTAGTACTGTGCTAGCTGTAAAAGTATCTTAGATGTAAAAGTAGCTGTTAAGAGTATTTCCCCCCACTGCTAATAACTGGAGGCCTGGTTCTTTCTGAACTCACTGAGAGCTTGAAAATGTATTGCAGAATACATATGGTGCTTCATACTAGAAAAATTTTGATAGTGATGAGAATGCTTTCTTGTATCTCTGTATTATTTTCAGTCTGATTCTGAAGATACTTAAAGCAAGGAGGATTTGATTTAGCTTAGCCTTGTGCATTTTGGTGGAACCATTCAGAACCCTAGAATTTGATGTGCATGCAAATGACAAAACTGTGTAATATTAAAGTTGTTTCTTGTAATGAACTTTTTTTCGATTTTTGGGTTTTTTTGGGGGGAGAGTGCATTTTGATAAGGTACAAGTATGATGTTTAGATAGAAGTGAATAAGCAGCATTACAACATAGGCAGCACTGAATATTCTGAAATATTCTTAAGTTTTAAAATTTAATGCATGTTTATTCATGTACATATATATATTTAAAGCTGGAAAATATGCAGAAAATGATCTATGAGTTGGAAGAACAACTACATAATGAAATGCAGTTGAAAGATGAAATGGAGCAGAAGTGCAGGTAAGACTTTGAGCTTTAGTTGTTTATGTAATTTAAATACCTCTAACACTTCAGTTCTGTATTGCTGGTTTAGGTATTACCAGAATTACACTAAGAATGGTACTGTAGTCCTCCAAGGGAGTGCCAGGCCCAGGCTTAAGTAATTTAAAAACAATATTTGAATGGTTTTCTTGAATAGAGTATGAAGAAAATATGTTGTTTTCATTGGCACCCATGTAACACACATTCTTTCTGAACACCTGAATGTTTGGATTTACCAAATATCTCTGAATTCAGATGTTTTGCTGGACTGAGGTACACAATGATCATCCTGATTATTTTTTTAAAACATAAAATACTGTAGATATGGCACTGGAATATTGGAATATTGAAATTAACTGTCTAGTTCCTAAATACATGGTACCTGTTGGAAAACCATGTTCTTTTTTTTCCTGGTGACTGATAGATCAGAACAACTGTTTGCTTTTTAAAGTCTTGTTTCTGCCATGTTGAAGAAGTAGCTATGTGAGAATTTGCCTGTTTCTTGCAGCCACACCTCTACACAAACAGCTGGAATTCTTCTGTTCTGATAATCAGAAATTTTTACTCAGATTCATGCAAACTAAATCCCCTTCAGTGAGCTTCTCCTTCTCCTGAAGGTGTGAAAAAAGCCAGGAGGCAGCAGCAGGTACAGGATATAGGAAGAATTTTGACTTGTCAGTTGGGACATAGTTTTGCATATATAATCTGCAGCAGAGTTGATAAATACTTAGTATATTTTGCAAATTATTTCCAATGATTGATTTTCTTCAATTTTACAGTGTTCATTACAAAGTAGCATTAGCCAATATACAAATGTTCACTTTAGTAACAGTCCCAAATTCTCTCACTAGAAAAACACTATAATGTATTGTTCTCACATGTTACTTAAATGATTGTTTAAAATTTTATTTTTAGATCTTCAAACATAAAGCTAGACAAGATAATGAAAGAACTAGATGAAGAGGTAATCATTTTTCCTCATTGAAGCACTCTTGGTTGGGTAAAACATGTGGATAGTACTTTAATTATTTAAGATGTTTCTTCTGTGACTAAAACGATTGTTCTGAGATTAAATTTGAGGCCAGATTATCACATTTCAGTATGTATCATTAGGAGATGTATTTTTATTTGTATATGTTTTCAAAACCTTTTTTTTTCTGGAAGTCATGCTGAATTGTGCTAAATGATTTGCTTAGTCTTGCTCATCACAATTTCCCTGCTGTTTATCAAAATCAGTCCCTCTAACAATAATGTGCAGATCATTTTCTGTTGAGTCCTTATCTTGTCTCTTAATATTAATATCACATCAGTGATACCTTTTCTGATAAATTTATAAATTTGTCATGTAGAAGTTACAAAAGCCATCTTCTCTGAAAATGTGTTCAAGGAAGCCAGAAACTTAATTGGGAACAGTGCATCAGTTTCCTTAATTAGTTACAGAGATACTTGCTTAGGGATTATCCCTTAAAATGTAAATAGAAAATAACAGTCCTTTTAATTTTAGGGAAATCAAAGAAAGAACTTGGAATCAACAGTGTCTCAGATTGAGAAGGAAAAGATGGTGTTGCAACATAAGATCAATGACTACCAAAGGAAAATGGAACAAGAGAACGAGAAGAGACGGAATGTGGAAAATGAAGGTGTGCCAGGCTGTCCACAGAGCTGTAGGATGTGTTCTGGGGAATAATTTGCCATCTTAACATCTTAAAAGCTGCACAACTTTAAAGGGATCTTTTCAAATCTCCGACACAAATTTTGACTTTATTTCAACACAGTATTTTGGCCTTATTTTCATATTCTTTCCTCTGCACTGTCTGGTGTTTTCTGGAAGCACCAAATTTGACCTAAAAATGTGTAGGAGCAGCAAAAAGTCAACACAAGACCTGTTATATGCCAAGAGTTTATCTGAATGTGTTTATGTAAAAAAA